AGGAGTAAGATAATCATCGTAATTGTTAAAATGGACACTAGTAACATTCACATATAGTAACCTTTATTGTAATTACTAACCTATTAATAGTTAAAATTTAAAAAAAACAACTTCCCTGAAAATTAAAAATATTGGCGACAAGCGCTGGAAACTTTAGTTGCTCTCGATCTATCGCGGATATTCATGTATTTGCTACAAGTGAGTTTTTCTATTAAAACATCAATCAAATATTCTTAGATCAAATTTTTAACCATGATTAAAATTGATCTTGCATAAATCAAATAGAAACAGATCAATTTATCTTCTAACGAAAAGTCAAATCAATCTGCTGGTCTTAACTATTGCTTTTCAGCAACCAACTAAGTAGTATTTAATTTTATAGAAATTTAGAGATTGCACTTGGGTTTAAAAATGAATAAGTAAATGCCGAATTAATTTTCCGACGCGTTTAATGTTTATTTTATTTGAAAATATGAAATACTCATCAGCGCTTTGCATTATATATAATCAAGAAAGGTACAAAAGTTATATGGTAAAATAAAATGAAATAAAAATGAAGCAATTGAAATGAAATAATTACAACCGTTAAATATAATAAAGAATGGATAAATGAACTGATAGGTTGAATAAAATAAATCGAAGGGGGCAATAACCTTCACGAGAATTCCGTAATTATTCTATAATTAATTTTTCAGGGCTTTTGTTCTTCAATGAAGCTCTGTAAAGGCAAAAGTTGTTCTTTTCTATTTATACTAATTGCAGTATTAAAGACTTGAGCTTAAAAATAAGAATAACGCATTACATACATTTATACTTTATATTAATCAATTTTATTAATTAGTTATTTGTTACTGTATATTCGTATTATATATCAATACTAAATATTGACACTTGGTACTTGTACTTGATATTTGTACTTGATATTCGTTATATATATATGTTACATCTACGTACTAATTATTAGGTTATGGAATTGTTTGTATTGTCATAGTGATACCATCATTACTATGAATTACTTTGAATTTATAATTAAAGTCTCAAATGATGTAAACTTGCTGATGATGACCGTTACAATATAATTCATTTAGATCAAATTCACCATCATCTGGATCATTTTCACCATCATATAGAATTATAGAAAGGTCGAAAATTTCGAGAATTACGTAAAAACAAAATATTTTATAACTGACGATTGATTTACATCTACATCATTCTCATTACTACTTACCTCGTACTCAAGCAAATTCATATTTATGTTTTAAACGAGAATAAGGTTTATTCATTCAATTCTATAATGGAGAAAATTCTTCCATAGTAGGAAATTTTCTATCAAAGCAGCAGATTGTGCATCTCTGGTATGCGTATTTCGATAAATGAACATGTTTATTTTCAATAAAAAACAATTGACAGTGATATATCTGTTTTGAGTAAGATTTCTAGAATTATAGATTTGATTTATATAAATAAATGTATTTCAATCATTCGAATCAATAGAATGAGCTTATCGTTGTGTTTGAAATAAAAATTGCTGAGCAACCGCTTAAAAATATGTCGACAGTTAGGAAATATCCGCACTTAGATATTTAACATAATCTTTATTTTCTAACACAAATGCAGAGAGCACAATGGGAATATAAGGGATACGTTGAAATATAGACGATTTGATTGAAATATGAAAAGTATGAAACGAATACCGAGGAAACCATAGCCCTTTGATTCTTCTCGATGGAAAATAATGGTATAACCATACCGAAGAAGATAAGCAGAATTGACAGTTTTTGCTCTGTGTCGTTTGACTCGGTCAACGACTTCGCGTAAGTTCAGTGAACGTTCAATAGATAGAATACTTAGACACCAAGTTCTTTATATTGTTGCTTTTCTAATTTTAAATGATTATATCATGTATTACATGATGCATTCAATATCGACACACGTGATGAAGCACATTTCAAAGTGTTCGTAATCACTAAGATTCGTTTATCAGCACTCAGTACTCTGCATCGTAATTAAATGTACCGTGTATACTTATATTTTGTGAAACACGACCTGAAAGGAGTGTTGAAGTGTTTAGGGTAAAAATTTACACCCCCCTCCCCCACAGACCGTTACCAACAAGTGATTCCCCCATCACAGACCGTTACCGACAGGTGATTTCCCCACCAGAGACCGTTCGAGACCGGTGAAGCAGAGTTCAAGGGTTAAGACTAGAATTTGAATTCCTTCCAAAGCATTTTAATTAATTAGCTATTTACAGTCTAATTAATGAATTAATCTTCACAGACCTTGAGAGAAAAGCTTTGGATCCATCACAAACGGTATTAGAAATGCAGGGAGAACAGAGAGGTGGAGCAATGACTATGATACACCTCAACAGTTACGTCGTGTTTCACATTTAAATCCCGAAGGGATTGCGCTAAAAGCTTTTTTTTCACTATTCCAAATTAATAGCTGTATCCTCTTCGTATCCCTGTAATACCCGAGATAGACGGAATCCACCTTTTCTTCTTGATAGGATGCTTTCTAACTTTTTATCCAATACATTTAAAATTCAAGCGATCATAAATAAAACATTAAGTAATACTTAGAACAATTATATATCGATCGTGGTTTTTTGTTTTGTACTTTTAGTGAAATCTAAAGATATTGATAACGCAATGCATATATTCTCTTCCATTACAAATAAGTCTAATTATATGTATACAGTTATGTTTAAAGGTCAATATTCTTTCAGAACGTTTTTTTATTATTATAAATATCTGTTATAAACAGGTCTAATTATTAACAATGTGGCAGAGAAGATATTGGATTTATTCGATGAAATGAAAATTGAACCTAATCAGCTTACTCTCACTATTTTGTTTAATGCATCTGCTGTACTTAATAATAATCGACCAATGAAAACAGGAAAAAAACTTCTTGCTGAAATGCCTGAGAATTATCGAAATCACAATGTTATATCAACTTCAGCAATTGACATGTTAATGAAATTTGGTGATGTTGAAGGTGCTGAAACAATTTTTCGGTCAGTCAAAGCGAAAGGTGCTGATATTTATGGTGCTTTAATGAATGGTTATAATCTGAATGGTGAATCATGGAAATGTTTTAAGGTTTTTGAAGAAATGAATGAAAAAGACATTATTCCTGATGAGATTGCATGGAATGTACTTATTGGTGCATGTTCAAAAAGTGGGATGCTACATCATTGCCAATATATTATGAATCAAATTCCTTTGAATATTCAGAACAACATTCGAATANTTGAACATCATTTTTAGAATTATAATAAGGTCGAAAATTCCGAGAATTACGTATAAACTAAATATTAAAAACTGCCGATTTAATTCCATCAAAAATCATTTTCGTTAAAGCATTTTTTTCAAATCAATTTTCTCTAAACATTATTCCGATTTCAATTACCTACGACGACAAGATTGATGTTGACGCTGTTTCAACTACAAATAGATTTCCAATAATTCAGGATTACAATCTATTATGTTTTCCTATTCGTAAGATCGTAAAAATATGTAGAATTCGTTTGTTTTTAAACAGACAAATACTAGAGTACAAAGATCAAGATGTAACGAACTCCATGCATGGACAAAATATCAGAAAACAAAGGTTTCACTACGTTAACTTTTGTGCTCGATAGCAGGAGTTGGTGAAAGTGCTATATTGATTTTAATGAATATTATTATATTTATCTAGCGTATTGAATGACTTGGAAACAATCATGCGCTACTATAGGCCAATCATTTTACAACAGTTATTTCTGTTGTCAACTAAGCTGTAAGAAAATATCCGTATTTAAATATTTAAAAACAAAAACTTGACAAAAAAAACAAAATACGAATTTGAGAATTTTGAGCAAGTAAAAATTTCAACAAAAATGATAACAATCATTAATATTAGTATTATTATTGTTTTTTTAAGCCTCAAAAATTGACTAAATAGAACAATTTCATATAATGCTGAGCGAATTTAATAATGTCAGGAAATCCACCTTAAATGAAAATACTTTACCTCAAAATATCAAGGAAATTACGCTAAATTACTTTTAATTGACTATTGACAGTCTTGAATAGCTAATAGCGCATAATTTCCTGCTCATTCTTTCGCTATAAAGATTTTCTGAAATATTCCATTTTTATCGAAAGACATCATCTCCAATACGCATATCTCAAATAGTATCCATTAATCAATCGAGAATTCTTGAGTTGTATTAACTAGTAGTTTCAAATCAGAAGAATTTATCAAACTCATATCAGTTCTGATTAATGAGTTATACTTTTGCTGAACAAGATTAAATAAAAAAAAGAATACGTGGTGCTCAATATCAATAGTTTTGAATTACTAAGTGAGAAGTTGTGAAATAATAGTTCTTCTATCTCTCTTTACATCAGCACTTATGAAACTTGATATATTGAAAGAAAAGTTTTTTTAATATTGGAAAATTGCAAAGTTGTATGCTTTTTTCACATCCTATAGCTTCGCAATACTATTATAATAAACGTTTCTCCAAAGACTTGTTTGGTAAATTTATAAATCCAATGCAATAATGTTTTATCAGGATTTCACCGATAGGGAAAAGATATTCAATGGGTCCGTCCGATCGACAACATTTGATGAGTTTAACTTAGGAACTGTTCTCTCGTTCTTATGGAGTCAATTATTATTTACATTTTATCTTTGGACTACAGTTTTGGATTGATACAAGTATCATAGAAAATTGAAGTTAGTTTTTATTTGATAGATTATAATATATAAACAGCGAGAGTTATTTGGATTAGTTTTGTTTAGTCACATGATGAAATAACTATATAAAAACACGTGGTTAACAATATGCTACCCAGAAGCGGTAATTTAAAACTTATCTAGAGCAAAATATTTAAATTTAATGAATTGTGTATATGCACAGATTGAATTCTGTAAGATGTATTTCGAATCTTTTATTTATCATCTTATAGTTTCCAATGATAACATAAAAAGAACGAAACAACAAAATATGAATATGTTGCTTTCAATCACAATAAAGACAGTATGTGTATGTATATAAAATATAATAATAAAAAACATCAATTTTTATGTATAATTCCAACTGAACATTATTTTGATTAGTTATCATTTTCAAAATAATTTGATTATATTTTTTATAGAGATGTTGGTTGCACTTGATTCATTTCAACAGAATTCGATTTCTTTTTTTTATAACCGTAAACAGAATATTTAAACCACATAATGAAAATAATGACTCCAGATATACCTATAGGAGTAACAGTGGCTAAAATAATAATACGCTGTATCATATTTGATGTGATTTGTTTATCAGCAACTGTTATTGTTAGATGAGAAGCACTTGTTTGTGAAGTTAGTTCAATATTTTCAGTGATTATATTAGTTGATGTTTCACTCGGTATTACTTTTAATGTTGTTGTTTTTTCTGAAGTATCAGTTATCATTTTCGTTGTTATTGAAGTTGAGGTTATTATAATATCTGCATCTGTCATTGTAAGTGCATTTGGAATGGAAGTCGCACTTGAAGCTGTTACAGGGAAAATAGTGCTTGACATCATCGTCGTAGCAAGCTTAAAACAGAAAAAAGGTTAAGAAAAGATTGAAGATATTTTATTGTAGAAAAAATATTGAGTTCAGTAGGATAAATAATTAGAAGAAATATTTGTCTGTTTTTATGTTTTGGAAAGTAATTCATTATTGTTTTTAGTTTACATATCTTATTCTAATGATAATATAATTATCAATCGTTTTCTAAAAATTTCAAGTTTCATGTTGTAAATAGTTTCTTTTCATAGTCATCAGTTCCGTATAAGTTCTAGATGAGTACTTTCCACAATACATCAACTGTATTTCTATTGTTATAGCACGAGTTTGACAATAAAGAGAGTCTTTAGAATTTAGTCACACGTCATGAGAAGATACAATCTCACCGTTGTTAATTCAGAAACGGTCATTTCATCTATTACTGTGGACTGGATCGTCATTGTCAATGTACTATTGGCCATTCCGGAAAAACAATTAATAGAAACGATTGACATAGAATCTTTTTATTTTCTCAACTAATTTTAGTGTCGACTGTAGAAAAAATTTCCTTCAATAAAATAAAATAAACTATATGGAATAATTCTCAATTTGAAGGACTTCTCTAAGAGAGACAGATCGATCATCATATTACCATTATGGTAGATGTAGTTTCAGATGCGATTGGTTCGATTGAAGTTATCTAAATTTTACAAATAATACGATTTCCACAGTCATCTAAAGTTTAGCAATTACTACTGTTGATTGCTCTATTGTGGCTATGCTTGATATTTCTTTAACAGTTATGTCAGATACACTACAAAAGAAAAACAACAATGTCGTGCACGGAAATCATGAGAACCGTTTTTTTCCGAGTATCACCTAGTTAGAATCTCAGTTTCACTTTGCATTATTGTTATTTCTTTTGATGTTATAGTCGGTGCATTTGTAGTTGTTATTGAATCAGCTTTATTAAAATAGATTGCACAGAAATCCTTTATTTGAGCGAATAACATATACTTACAACAAAATCCTTGTTGTATTGAAATTTCATCAATTCCAAACAAAGGCGCTTTAGGATCGAGTCTCTGAAAATCAAAGTATATCTAGAGGACAAAAAGCATCCGATTGGACATTGCAAATTCCAGGTAAGCCATAAAAGAAATCCTCACCATGTATCCAGGCTTTTTAGCTCGATAATTAACTTTTCGTTGTGTCCATCGATTGAATGAACTATTTGTAACATAATCGATGATTTCAGTTGTATTATCAACTTCTACTTTGCGTAGTTTAATACTCATTCGAATACCAATTCCTTTTGGTATGTAATAATAATAAATAATACATTGGTCATCTATTCCATTGATCCCACCTGTCCCAGCTTTGAGAGGAACAGAGTAGACCTCTGTCTCGAACAATCTTACATGTGCAAATTGACCTGAATTAATATTTTTTTACAAATTCAAAAATTATTTGGTGTCAATGTCTCCAATATATTCTGCAGTTACCTAATGCACATTTGCTGTTGGGACTTGTTGCTGTTGGACAAAAGCCCTTGTTACAGAAATACATATCCCACGTGTAGGAGTCGACTCGATAGGGAAGTTTACATAATTCACCATTTTCTGTTGGTTTAGCTTGAAAGTAAAAAAAGACATGGTTGAAAAAAGTTTTAAAAACAAGTCGATCATAATTTATCTCACTCGTGGATGTTACATCCGAAAATGGAGAAATTGGTGGATCTTTGTCGATGGTGCCCAGAGTGGGAACAGTTAGCATAAGAGTGGTGAAACAATTAGCAACTAGTGAGGAGTTGTCAAAATTACATTCGAGCAATACTTGTGAAGAAATTAGGATTACATAACTATGAACTAAATGAAAATATCTCGAAGCATGTTGCATAATTTTGTTATTTAAAATTTTACCAATCAAAAAAATAGCTACTTGTCGGAGCATTCTTTTAATTTTGTTTGAAAATTAAAAAATTATTTGATGTGTGTCATTGTATACTTATTCTTCGTTCTCAAAAGTAAAAATAATTTCCATTATCTCTTATTCAACAAAAACAAACTACCTCTATCTTTCTATGACTTGTTAATGTGTAGAGAAATTCAGGTGTATCTGTTGGACATGCTTTTACATCTTGATGCGACGCTTATCATCAGTATAAACTCACCTTCGTCTTAACTCTTTTTAGCTTATTTTATATAATATTTAATCGAGGTTACTTCATTGTTGCCAAATAGGATGTTAAATAAGGAAATCTTTTCAGAACTTTAAATTGACTGACTGTTTTGTTGTAATCAAAAACAATTGATATGTGCTTATATAACTGTAATAGAAGAGTAACACACAGATCTCGGAGAGCAAACAAAGAAAAGCATTCTCTAAACAGACTATTGGTATTTTATTCTTTTATTCCTTCCATTTCAATTAGTTAATTTTGATAAACAATATAATATCAATTTTAATCGATCGAATAAACTCAAATAATGTTGTTCTTTGGCTAAAACAAACAGTACAGTGATATAAATGGAATTCCTATAGTATGATTAGGCCAACAATCATTGATATTATTATTAAATTTTCAAAACAGACAGATAACATTGAAACAATAATTTGTTTCTATTCATCTTTATTATTCTGTATTAGATCTTACCAATTTATTACTAGAAATCAGCAAATCAAAATGAAACGAATTGAGTTATCAGGACACAAACCTTGTATGCATCATTCGTATTGAATACGTTGAGAAAATATCATCAGATGCGTATGATACTTGTTATGTTTATTAACTATAGCTCCTCTTCATCATAGATATTTTTACAAAATATAAAATGAATAAGAATCGTTGTTTTGAATATTAATATATTACGCATTTTTTATATCATAAACTTTCACCTCGTTGATGTCATGTTTAATCTTATTCAATGAGCTCTATGTATTAGAAGCATAAAAAACAATTAGCATCATGTTCAAGTCTTTCATCTCATCGTACCATATATATCTATAACTCTATTCTGTTCTATACGTCTCAAGCTAATGGTTCGGTGATGGTCTATATATTTTGCTTGCATGTCAAAGGTAGTCCGATTATACATACCGTCGTCCATAACTCATGCTATCTTTAATCACAACTTTTTATTTTATGTGCTTTCTTTGCTTTCATTCTTCATAAGAAGAGTTGCATGTAATCCGTACTATGTCTCTGAAGGCTATCATAGGTTGAGGGTAAATAAATCGCATGAATTCAAGAAACAGAAACAATTTTTTCTTTCAAAACTCTACACTATTATCGTGAGTTAGATGAAATCAATACATCAATCTATCATTTAAGATTTATTTTCAAACCAATTTTGAATGAAATGAAAAATAAGTTGAAACACTACGACAAAAGATAAATGGACAATATCAATTATTTCCTATATAAATGAACTAGTTTTATATTTGACTTTAGTATCGAATCAACAATGAAGACTTTCTGCGATATTCCTATAGTGAATTACTCGATAGTAAATATAAAAGAACATTCTAGATTTGAAATTTGCTCCAGGAAAAATGGTAACAGTGTGACTACATAATAAACAAATGTGAAAAAATTTTTCCCATAAACAATTCCGGCGATATTAATCTTCAGTTTTCACTGTAGTATACTTGATAAAGTAATATAGCTACAACTTTCTTTCACGACTAAAACAATTATGTATGTGCATGTAAGATGAACATATGCTTCATGTTTTTTGTATGAAATTTTGATTCCCTATTCATTTTATTGTTAGAAAATGATGATCATGTTCTGATACGCCTAAATTATCTCTTCAATATTAACTATGATGATTGCATTTGATCATCTATCGAATCGAACTGATTACACAATAGCACTTTATGGATAATAATTTTCTAGATGAAGAAAACACGATTCATATTTTGTTCTAATTGAAGATTCAATGAAATTTATATTTGATTGTATAAAAGACTTCTGTGCAACTTTGTATTGACAGCAAGAAAATCCATAAAAGTAACACACAACTATAAAATATGAGCCTTAAATCACAAAATCACAGATTTTCATTATCTTGAAAGTGCACGAAACACTGAACGATCGTCGTTAATGATAGAAATATAAGTTATTCTGCTGCTCTTCTCAAGTAATGTTGATTGTAGATAATGTGTTGACTTGATAAACAATAATTATACTTCAAAACTTATAAATATTCTGTACTGATGAATCAAAGTTTTATTGACTTCTGGCGTTAAAGTTTCCCAGTAGTGTCAAACTTGAAACTTGAATTCAGTTGACAATAGAAAATTTCAACCTTCAACTTTCAACTCATAGCGATATATGTGTGAGTCACGATTCTTCACAATGCTATTGATTTAAAAGTTGAAAATTGAAATATTCAATTTTCAATTGAATTCAAGTTTCAAGGTTGACATATATGAAGTTTCCGAGTCTTATCCTGAATTCATTTAGAAATTATAAGAATACTAACAACTATCGAAGATTCTTGAGAATAGTGTTGGGTATATTTTCTTTTTGTACCATTTTGCGTCATATCGAAAGTGACAAAGACATTTTTCTCAATGGTTTTAAAGTGAACTTTTTCAATCCATTTTAACATATCTACGATAAAATCTACTGAATTTAAGAGTAATTGAGTTATTTCTCACCATTGAATTCTACATCATGTAAAGTCTATTATAGAATTTAAGTTTATGCCATTTTTTTGTTTATGATTATTTCATAAAATTGTAACAAGTTGAAAAATGATGAGACGATATTGTTGACTTATTATTATTATTCATGTCAATTGCTTTAGAAAATTATGCGAACATCACTTCAGTGATACGATTGATTTCAATCATGTCTGGTCATTTTTCAAGATCTGATAAAAGACAGCCTGTATCTCTTACATAGAACATTTTATCAAAACTGAAAATTTTCCAATTTCATGTATTTTCTATGGATTATTTACCAGTGAACTAAACGTTGCCTTCGAATCATTGTTAATATTATCGAAATGTCTCTTCTGTTGTATTGGAAAAAAAAGTTATTTGGTACGCATTAACATATAAACTATATTTCTTTTCTGCTGCTTCTGTCTGATGTTTTCGAAAAATACACAAGAAACACAGGTGAAATAATGTATTGATGAAGAAAAAAAGCATAATAAACATAAATGATTTACAAAAAAAATTGAATATCAAATAAATATATTTTGTGCATCTGTGGAAATAAAATAGTTTAGCTTTCGATGAAGTTTTTGAAAAATAGAATGTGAAAATTACAACACTGAAAAAAATGAAACTATAAGAAAGTTAATTATCTTTTTGTTTTCGATTGAATGAATTCGAAAAGAAAAAGAGAAAAAAATCGGACCGGTTAGAGATTAATTTATATTTATGCTCACTGTTCTCAATAGACAGAGAAGGCATTATTATCACAAAACAAATATAATCGAAAATATTTTCATCGATTATTAACCGGTGTAACATTTCCACAAGCTGAACCATTGCGAGATGATGGTGTTGGTGTTGGCGTATTATTATTATGTGAATTTGAAAATCTTCCATACATCATCTGAGCAATACGATTAACTTCGACAATATCTGGTCGCTTTTCAGGATCTAATACAAGACATTTTGATATGAGGAGACGTAACTGAAAAAAGTGATAATAATTCAAAAATACAATAGCTGTTCATTTAAAACTAACTTCAGACGAATAAAAATTAGTCGGTAGTGGTGTATAATCAAGTGCTTCAATTTTTTGACGTAATGATATTAGATTCAAATTTTCTCCAAAAAAAGGCGAACGAAGTGCTGCCATCTGTGAAAAAGAGTGTTGAGAAAATACATATATTTCAACTGAAAAAGAACAAATAAATTTTACCTCGTATAAAATACAACCCAGAGACCAAATATCAGATCGAAAGTCATAACCAAGATCATGCTCATGAATGCGTTCAGGTGACATGTAATATCTAAATTTTTAGTTTTTTGTTATTTTCATGTAAAAATTGTAATAAAATAAAAGTAATAGCTGCTTACGGTGTGCCAACCATTGAATGTGCTGATGTCGTTTTCGAACCAAAAAAACGGCCTAATCCAAGGTCACCAAGTCGAACAACTCCTTCAGCACTTACAAAAATATTTGCTGGTTTAATATCTAAATATTACAGAAATATAAATAATGAATAACGAAAAAAAGATTTCATACCTCTATGCATAATTCTTTTTGAATGCATATGTTCAAGGCCACTACAGATTTGAGTAAAAAATTTCCATATTGTTTTTTCAGGCATTAATTTATTTGATCGATGAAAGTGTTTTATCATTTTAGCTAAATCACCTGCACTTGCTAATTCCTATGGGGAAGAAAACGTTTTTATTAATAAACTTATTTGTCTGATAAACAATTCAATACCAAAACGATGTACAAATCATTTTCTTCAACAAAATGTGAAATATATTTGATGACATTGTGATGATTTAATTGCTATAGAAATAAAAAGATTGCAAATGAACTCAGTGAAAAAGAATAATCAAATTTTATTACTTGAAGTAAACTAATTTCACGTTTACAATCGTCAATTGCTTTTGAATCGGTCATTCGACTTAACTACAATAAATATTTGATGTGATGAAAGTTTATCGAAGAAAAAACAAAAGATCTCATTGCTATTATAATAATCGTTGTTTTTTAGTAAATTCAATCAATTGATTCAACCTTATGAAAGAAGTTTCATGGAGGACTTTTATCTATATAATATCTTTTGCAAAAATTCAATCGCATCAATGCATTATATATATATATATATAAACACTATCGAATTCTACCATGTTTCTATTAGTATTTATTGAAATGGTTTTCTTACTTGAACCTTTTTTAATGCAACGTAAACACCTGTAAAGCGATTCCGGGCAGAATAAACAACAGAAAAATGGCCATTTCCAAGTGTTTTAAGCACGTCAAAGTTTTTGAATGCTCCATATATATCTGATCCTGATTGTGCAGGCAATGGGCCGAGAACATTATTCTGAATACTCATATCTACAAATTAAAAGAAAAAAATTCTAATTTCTTTATAGATTTCATTCATTTATACATTAGAAACATATGATATAGAAAAAAAAGGCAAATTTTTCTAAAGATAAGCAAAAAGCATAATATAATATATATACTGATCTGTATGCATGAAAATTTTCTCTTAAAAACAAAACTTCCATATTCTTGTACTTTTACTATATTTCACTGGTAAACTTGAGAATAAATCGAATTAAAATAGCAAATGCAGTTAAAATTTTAACAGTCATTGTATTACTAACAAGACTATTCAATCAAGATGTTGATATTAAATTATTATTTGTTGCTGATGAAATTAATGATTGATGTTTTGAATTGAAATCATTCATTAAAGATTTAGTTAATTTAGTTTTTGATGTTCTTTCAAGTAGTGTTTGTTTGATTTCTTTTGTTGTGTAAGTTCACAAAGAATAGGCTATTAAATCGACGCTTTTGAGCATCAATTGTTTCAATGATTCCGTCTGTAAAATTATTATCAAACATACAAATTAAAAAGTCATTTAGCATTGATGACATTCACCTCAAATTAAAAGAAAAAAACGTGTATATTTTCCGCACCAAATCATTAATACCATTTAATAATTACCGAGATGGATTTCATGCATCTGAATGAAATTAATAAAAATAAATATTACTTGCCGATTTAAACAGATATTCACATGGAAAAATTATTTTTCCATTATAAATTTCTCCTTCATAAAGTGTATCATTTAGTCTTCGTGCAACCTGCTGCCATTGTAATAAATTCTATGATAATGGTTGAGCCATTAAACATGGTATTGGATCTTTATTTAGACGGCGCTATTCAGTTTGAATACGTTGACATATTGAAATTGATTTCATCAACATTTTTAAAGATTTATTAATGAAACCAATCGGTAAGCAACCAATAGGAAATATATGACGGTCCCCATGCAGAATAATAATGAGCAATAACACATCACATTCAATTAGTTCATTGCGCACAACAATCAAAGTGTGAGAATAAATGATTGAGTGTTTCTTCCACACATGTGTTTGTTGTCCAAAAGAAAATAAATAATCTTGCACAAAAAATATGTTCTAATCTATAAAATGACTGCAGAAGTCATTTTCGTGTTGAATTTCGAATACTACGACATCTATCAGCCAACAGATCGTTGAATTAGTCACAACTTTTCATCACTTTTCTAATTCTAATCTGATTATAAATGAGCCTCGAGGGACTTACGATAAATTCCAAAATAAGAATATATCAGGAATTATTAGGCACTACTGATACAGAGATAGTTCAACTATGCAGGAAACATTTAGGACTCGGATTTCCACTTAGACAATCTTTAGAATAATCGTAAAAGATTTAAAAACACTACAGATTATACATAACTTTTTTCTATACACACTGTATGAACAACAAAAAAGAATATTTTTCACTTGTAGGAAATAGTAACTTCATTTTTTTTCTCAGAAGAGAAACAGAATTTACACATCATGGTTGATTTCATTCTAACTGTTATACGTGTACACTTCCACATAAATATCAGCAACATCTAATTTAATATTTGTCATAAAAATACTTTTTTTGTTAAAAAAAGATACAAACTAGATGGTATTCAAGTTTCTCTCGACTACGAAATGCGGTGTGCGAAGCACACGAGCCGAATTTTCGAAAGTAGTGAGAATAAGATTTAAAAAATAAATGATCCACTTTAAGATTCACTAGAATCGATTATTTTTTTTTAATTTCCGTATACGAATTTTGAATAAAAATTTCGCATTCACCATTTTTAAATCGACCAATTTGAAATTCATCACTAGGAGATCTCTCTGAAAATCATTTTGGGAGGATATTTCTGAGCAAACAAAACATCGTATTAAAATTTTGAAAATAAATATCACAAGTTCAATATTCATATTTTCACTTCTAGTTCGAATAACTTTTCTATGATTTTCGGTACTCGAGATCATCGGGTCACAAAATGATGAAAAAGATGCGTACGTCGAGAAAGCAAAGGCAAAAGAAAACTTGCGACGGACTACATGAATGCAGTGCTTCGCACCGCATTAATTATAAGTTTTCCCAATATTCTTATAATATTACCGTTCAGCAAAAAAGAACTTTAATACAATTCAGTCAAAATCGAAATTTTGATTTAGACCAAAATTATGTTGAACAAGTTCAGTCTGTTATTTTTACTGGGTAAATGTCAGAGAATTTGAGTTCTAACTATTAAAACATATATATATATATATATATTTTATTTCGTTAGCATCGGCAGCTTGCTATAAAGATTAATGATCAGAGATGAAACCGATTCCAAATGTGATAACAATAATAATATTTACACTGCGACGGAGCGTTTCAACAAAATAATATGTATATCTATTTTCACTAGAATCTTCAGTTTTTCAAAAAACAAAAAAAGGTTATATAGGTAGTATAGCCATCCGACAACTGCAAAGCCAGACATTAATGCATATTCTTTTGCCTTTTTGAATCTTATATTACAATTTTTCGAAAAAATATTCTTTTATTGAATGCACCTACCAAGAAAAAAGTGATATTCTATGTACAAACAATATTTTAATCTATTAATATCCATGTTAATGCAAAATATTTTTCAGTGTATTCGATTCCAGGATGTGATGTTCCATTAATTGGTATAAATTCAATCTCATCAATATCATTCCAGCCAAGATTAAATACTTGTGAAGCATCATATTGAAGAATGACTGTTGTTGAATATAAATTTTCTTTCGCCCGTCGTCCAATTAGATTAACTTGAAGATTATCAAGCCAAGCAGCAGTTGCTTCAAAAGATATCAATGAAAATGTTCCTTTACCTTGACGTTTTGTACAGATACTCATAGAATTACCTTTTCCGTTGAATACAATACAAACATGGCCATTTGTAAAAGCATTCTCCCATCCACTTTGTGCATGATTTGCTTTAATCCATTGTTCATGCATATACCATACATTAATCCATCGTAGACCTTCATAGGATTCTGATAATGTTCCAGAATCAATTTTTTTATCAATGTTGAACAATTTATTAAAAGTTATTAAGCGTCTGCTTGGCTTTTGAACTATAAGTAGAAGGAAAAAATAAGAAACAGAAATTGTTTTAGTGCGAAGTTTGCGTATGTATTACTATACAATGTCAATATACGATCATAAATAAAGAAGATACTTGTTATACTATTTTATGATAGGTATGAAAAATAAAGCCGATACATTTTTTATGTCTAGTTTCATTTTAGATATTGTAAGAGATATGTAAAGAGTGTAGAATGGAAAAGAGGACAACTTTCCTACTGTAAAACTGTAATAAGTTTAAGAAATAGTTAGTTTTATTTTGTGCTATTATTCGATTAGATAATTACCTGTTGTTTGTAAAATTTGTACTTGATTTGAAAGAATTTGAATTTGATCTTCGAGTGTTCGATTTGTATTAATAAGACAATCTAAGACGGATCTTAATTTTTCGTAACTACAATTAATAAGATGCTCTTGAAGTTGATCACGTTGACCAGACCATGGACATTTAATATCAGATGCTGAGCAAAGAATAGTTCCTTTTGGACATATTTTAGCAATATGATCATTAAAGTTACCACGTTGAATTCCACATTGTCCGCATTCAAGACATTTCACTTGTAATCGATCAAGAATATTTAATACTAACCGAGTTGTAACGGGCTTTAAATTGTTAATAGATGATGGCTGTCGACATGCAGGACACGTTGAATAACCTTCATCTAGCCAATGTTCAATACATTCTTGACAATAACTATGATCACAAGGTGTTGTTACGGGATGTTGAAATGGTTCGTTACATATTAAACATTTATAATTTTCATCAATCGATGACTCATCAATATATTCATACTGAATATTCGACATCTGCCAAGCAAAAAATATACACAATACATTTTACTTCATTTTAGTTCGATAAAATATTCATTTCCTTCGACAAAAATATAAAAAGTAAACATGATTTTAATACGAAAATTACTTGTGGCAGGCAAAACAAGTTTTATTATTTCAACTAAATAAATAGATTTGTTGGATTTCACTATTTTAGCTTCTAATGAATTATTTATGTTTTGGCGTTATTTTTTGGCGAGAAATAAAAGGAAGTAATACTTATTCATGCAAACACATTTTTGTTAAACGATAATGAAAAGAATGGTAGCAGAAGATATGAATGAGCACTAATCATAAATTATACTATCAAGTTAAACAGAAAAAATCTTTGCATCAACTTAAAGTTAATATAGAACTAATTGATATTTGACTTTCTTTAGATGAATTTATTTGGAAAGAAAACGATCTTACCTTTTTAATTTTGTTGGTTGTACAACGTGTTGCACTTCATACAACGACTTTTTTTGTTCTGCTTCATCTTTTCCAACAGCACGTGACATAAAAAGAATATTATTTGTCTTCTTTTTCATAGTTACTCAAATATCTACGCAAAACATAAATATTTGATAAACACAAAATTTATCTGCATGGTACAAATACATAACTATGGAAACAATTTTCATTCTTGTTTTTCAACCAAGAATACTAAATACTTATGAAATTCTATTATAGAGAGAGTATGTCGACAAAAAATTTCAATTTCAGCTATTGATTGATTAGATGTACTTCCTATTTATAATGAAATTTTCCAGCAATGTAAATCATATATACATTACTCAAATTAAACTGAAAAATTGAGAATCAATTCGAACAAAAAAGATGCTTCAATTTAAATTCTAGTTGTGCTTTTTGATTTTTTTGTAAGTATTTACCATCTAAATTAACATTAGCATCGATCAAAATAAGTTTCAATTTGGTTATGCTTTTTTTAAAAATAATTCATTAGTTTTCGATGTTGTGATCGAATGTTTGATTATATTGTTTCTGAATCGGTATCTACTTAAATACGCTTTCGTCGAACCAACAATGTCGTAAATGATGACAATCGTTTTGCCAAATATAATTACACCTAACCTAGTAAACTTTATCAGAAAAAGTATTGTATTGTTAAAATATTAGTGACATGTTTATTTCATTCATTGTAGAATTTCTACAATTTCTAATTATCATTCAAAAAATGAAATCGATCGAATCGAAAAGGATGGAAATACCTACAAAGTTTTATTATGAAAACCCTAGTTATTGAAATTTAGTATAGTGAAATCAATTTAAAAATATACCATCAGGAATTCGTAAAAAGTATCGAGAGGAATTCGATTAGATTTAATATTACAGTGATGCAATGAAAAGTTGCAATCTTCTGATGTTACCTTCGATTGTTTGATAGTTTTTTCTTTTCTCAATCAGAAAAACTCATCGTTTAAAAAGAAAATCAAGATTTGATATTTTTTAAATCAATAACCAAAGAAATTTTTATTTGCAAGGCCATGAAACATAGGAATAATAAATAGTTTCCTTGGGTTAAAGTATTTATTCACGATCATTCTATCGTAAGTCTCTTTAAATGATAATAAGAGTCAGTTTATGTCGTTCATTATTTTTGCCAACAAAAAGTATTTAGATACTTTCCGAAAAACCTGATGTTTCACTTAGGTACAAGATAATTTTGAAAAGAATTTCTCCATAATACATCACATCGATAATTTAGGTTAGCTTAAACTGTTTTACAATCATTGACAATATGCAAGTGACATGAATTACTTTCTTGATTGTAATATTTAATAAGTATTTGAGCTTCTGCTAAATGCAATAGTGACTCGTCCAAAAGAAACAAACTAGATGAAAATGAATATGATCAAGCAGGTAGTATCAATAATTGTACTCGGTTATTAGCAAGATTCTTAACTTTAATTTAGAAACTTTCTTCAAATAGTTATCATAGAAATATTATTAGTTCGTATTTAAGTAAATTTTCTGATTGAGTTCGTTTTATCTACATTAAATTGAATCATATATTTGACATATTATTATTACGCCAATGATTTTCATATGCACTTTTCAAATATCAATGGTGTATTAATGATTCTTAAATTTGTATGATGCCAAAATACAGAAAATTCCATGGAGAATTCTCTTTGACAGATATCTGTTTTACTAACAATATATTTTATATTTATCTAATATATGTTCAACTGAATTATACGAGAAACATCAGTAAAAATGTTTCTTAAAAATTCATCAACGATCAGCGATCAAAAAAGTATTGTTCAATCTGTAGTTGATGACTTGTCTGAAAGTATGAATTAAAAGTTCAGCGTCTTATTTGTCATGATTTTCATCACACGATTGACAAAAACGCAATGAATATGAAGATATTTATTAATGGTATGGAAGAAACGAATTCTAATAATGCAAACGTAAGCGAAAAGTATAACTTTTGAGGCACTTAATCAGCCATCTGGTGTTCGATGTGTCATGGAAGTAGGAATGAGGAAAGATGATTCAATCAAATTAGGAAAAAGAACACGACTTTATTGAATGTAGTGATATCCAAACAGTAGTAATTTGTCACAAAAAAGAATTGGCTCTGCTGGAGAAGTATCATCGATTGGCTTAAAATATTAGGTAAGCTCTATATAGAAAAATTCTTTTACAACACAAAAATAATGTTAACAAATAACTATCATTAAGTGTATATTTTATGAACATATTTAATAAATCATACAATAAGTTATAGAAACGGACAAGACATTAAAAAAATTTCAGAATCATTTTAGATAAAGTTTAATTAAAATACAATACTAAAGAATCGATTGAAGTCAACTTAACAATGAGTGCGTATGATAGACGATAGAAGTTCGTGGTAGAAAAAAAATTGAATGAAAATAGAAGATATGTTTAGATGATTTCCGCTTTGATAATTTATATATTTTTAGTAAAATTTATTTCCTTATAAAAGCTTGTTAGCGCAGCCCCTTTGGGACTAAAATGTGGAACTCACATATATCCCTTCGGCTTACTAAAATAATTCAAAATAATTCATCTGAAAAATCTACCCTGATTTTCAAAACCTATAATTAGATCATTGCCTATTTGCACTTATGTCTGTAATTGAGTATTAATTGTTAGCTCGTATATTTAATAATGGCAGAGACTAGTTACTATGGTCTGTAATGGGCAAGTATAGCTTTTTCGTGTAGTCTGTAATTAAAAAGGGAAGAAATAGCAGCCTAATTAGTCAAGCTTCTAATTAGCACAATTTTAAAATAATTGATGTCTGTAATGGGGGGGGGGGGGGTGGGGAGCCGCAAAAATCTCGGCTTTAAACTTACACTCACCATTTTCTTCGAAAATATATGTGAGTTCCACAAAATAGCAATAATACATATATTGCTAATGAAAAATTGATAATAAAGGGTTGATTTGATTTTTCTATCACACCAGATGAGATTAGAGATATTAAAAAGTGTTAATCTCAACGGCAAAATCTATTTTAATAAAAAATTCTTGTTGATCATATAAAATCTTCAAACAATAATGTCTGTCATGTAAAAAAAATTGATTTGGTTCCAATTGTGTTCTTCTGTACTATTTATATCGTTTTTATTTTATTTTATTCGTATAATTATGCTATTAAATTATAATTTTATTGAAAAGCAAAATTAAGTTGTCGAATGAAATATTAAAGCTAATATATACATATGTAAACCCTTAATTCTGTTACATAATTGTAGAGCCTTCTCTCATGCAACTGACATTGGATTTTGCTGATTTCTAATAGAACAACAAATATCGGTAAAATATTCTTTTACTGTGTTGTATAAAACATGTGAATATTATCGGACGAATAATATTTGTTTTTATCGATTTTTATCTCATCGATTGATTGGTGATCACTCTACTGTAGACAGATTATGCTTTATTCTCGTATTAGTCTTTCTTTTGGTTATATTATCAAATGTCATCGATAAGGAAATAGATAAATTTAGTTTACTAAAAAGATTTTACCGACAAAATAGAAAAGATATAAACGATTTTAGTTGTTTTATTATTTTTGATCTCTTTTTTTATACAAAAATCGACACATGATTGAGTCTATATAACTTTTATATCTATAAATTCCTCTTACTATTCATATACTTTTCAGCTGCTGTGAATATGAATGATACAGGTAATCACTAACAATATGTTTTTCCCTAAAAACAGACTAAGAATAATGCTTTTGTTTGTATTTAAACAAAATTTCGTATTAATTTTAACATCAATTATCTATTGTTTTATAAATATTAAAGTGTAGAAAACAAAATCTAAGTTCGCATGCTATACGATCTTCTTATTAGAAAGGCTTGTAGACATAACGTCCATCTTGAAAAATTTGGCCGAAAGTCTTTAATCGATCGATCGTTTGCCGACTTTCTATATAAACATGTTTATTTTTCTCAATCATTCTTCGCTGAATTTTTTTTAAAGTGCACTAACACCCAGTGTATATGTGCCTTTAGTTTCCGTTCACCTTCAGAAATCTAAAATATAATTGCTTTTTTAGAAACGAGTAGAACAACAACAATAACAAGTAGAGCAATAACAGCAGCAGCAGCACCATTACTCGAAAAAACAGCCATCGATAAAGAGCTATCAAAAAAAGAATCAATCAGAAAATCATCGAACAAACGTCGTGCATCAAACACGACAATTCTTCTCACTAGCATTAACAAGAAGAAGAAAACTCTGCACGGCAATATTCAAAAAACTACTAGAATTGAATATAACCATCAGCATCAAAACGACGATCGAACAAAGTACGTGACAGACGTGTGTTTTCAGTTAAAAAGACATAATGCATTTGTAAAGCATTGCTAAAAAGAACAGGAAAGGTGCGCTAGTAGACGGATGGAACGTATAACGAGACACATGAAAATATATAAAAAAAAATAAAGAAAGAAGTTGTTTGCAATATTTCTGCCAACAGGATTGTT